TTATTGATCTTTTCAAAGAACGAGCTTTTGGTTTCATTGATTTTTCTCTATTGTTTTTCTAGTCTCTATTTCTATTTCTTTCTGCTCTGATCTTTATTATTTCCTTCCTTCCGCTTGCTTTAGGGTGAGTTTGCCCTTCTTTCTCTGGTGTCTTAAAGTGTAAGGTTAGATTATTGATTTGAGACATTTCTTCTTTCTTAATATACTTATACGCACAGCTATAAATTTCTCTCTAAGAAGTGCGTTAGCTGCATCCCATAAGTTCTGGTATTTTGATCTTTGTTTTCATTCATCTAAAAGTATTTTATGATTTCCCTTTTGGTTTCTTCTTTGGCCTTATGGTTATTTAGGATTGTGCTGTTTAATTTCCACATATTTGTGAGTTTCCACAAATAGTGGAAAAAAATAATAGAAAAATTTTTTCTATTATTAATTTCTATTTCATTCTATTGTGGTCAAAGAATATATTCTGTGTTATTTCTATTATTTTTAACTTATTGAGGTTTGTTTTATGTCCTAGCTTATGTTCTATCCTAGAGAATGTTCCATGTGAATTTCTGAAGAATGTGTATTCTGCTGTTGGTGGGGTGTTCTATGGATATTGGTTATGACTACTTGGTTTATAGTGTGTTCAAGTCCTCTGTTTCCCTTTTAATCTTCTCTCTCGTTGTTCTATCTATTATTGAAGTTAGGATATTAAAGTCTTCAACTAATATTGTGGAACTGTCTATTTTTCCCTTTGTTTCTGTCAGTTTTTGCTTCGTGTATTTTGGTGCTCTGTTATTATTTGCATGTACGTTTATAGTTGTTATATATTCCTGATGGATTGACTTTTTTATCATTATGAAATGTCTCTCTTATCTCTACTTACAATTTTTGTTTTGAAGTCTATTTTATCTGATACTAGTAAAATATTAGTGTTTTCCTGTGGTTGCCATTTGTATGATATATCTTTTTTTATCCTTTTATTTTCAATCTATTTGTATCTTTGAATCTTAAGTGTGTCTCCTATAGAGAGCATATAATTGAATCTCATATTTTTATCCAGTCTAACAATTTCTGTCTTTTGATTGGATTGTTTAATTCATTCACATTTAATGTTATTATTGATATGTAGTCAACCTTCACTGTTCACAGATTTTGTATTTACAAAGTCACCTACTCACTAAAATTGATCCGTAACCCCCAAATCAATACTCGTGGCACTTTCCTAGTCATTGATGGACATGCATAGAGCAGCAAAACATGTGAGTGTCCAACATGCACGTTCCCGGCTGAGGATGGACAAGGTGACACTGTGCCTTCTTGTATCAGCTCCTACTGTAAACAAGTGTCTTTTTTGCTGTCTATTTAATAAGTGCCACCTTTTCCACATTTTTGTGCTTTTTATTGGTTGTTTCATTGTTTAAATGGCCCCCGGTATAGCAATGATGTGCTGTCTAGTGTTCCTAAGTGCAAGAAGGCTGTGATGTGCGTTAGGGAGAAAATACGTGTGTTGGATGAGCTTCCTTCAGGCATGAGTTATGTAGCTGTTGGAAGTGAGTTCAGTGTTAATGAATTAACAATAAATATTAAGCACACATTGTGAAATAGTAGGAATATATATATATTTATGGCTCTGCCCTTGGTTCTTGCTAATATTTGGTCTTTGACCCCGGTTCCTGACACAGAGCTCCTAAATCCCCTGGAATTTCCTGGGTGATAGGAGCATCTTTTGTTCTAATGAGGCAACTCTTGGTGAGCTTCAGGATGGGGGCTGGTCACCAGAAAGACCAAGCCATGATTAGAAGCTTGGTGCTTTCAGCCCTACTCCCCATTCTCCAGAGAAGGGAAAGGAGCTGGAAATTGAGTTAATAATTAATTTTGCCTACATGATGAAGTCTCCATCAAAATCCCAAAAGTATGGGTTTGGAGAATTTCTGGGTTGGTGAACACATCCATGTGTCAGGAGAGTGATGTGCCTCAACCCCAGAGGGACAGAACTCAGGACCAGCACTCAGGACCTTTCCAGACTTCACCCTATGTATCTCTTCATATGGTTGTTTATCTATGTCCTTCAAAATCAGCAATAACAAGTAAACTGTTTTTCTGGTTTCTGTCAGCCACTCTAGCAAATTATCAAACCCTAAGAGGGGGTCATGGGAACCTCTGATTTGTAGCCAAGTTGGACAGAAATTGTGGGGAACCTGGGAACATGCTACTTGTGATAGGAGTCTGAAGTCGGGGGCACCATTCTTGTTGGACTGAGCCCTTAACCTGTGGGGAATATGCTAACTCGGGCTAGTTTCAGAATTGAATTGAATTGAATTGAATTATAGGACACTCAGCAGGAGAATTGGCCAGTGTGGGAAAACACTCACACATCTGGTGTCAGAAGCATTATGTGTGAGAATGAAGGAAAACACAGTGCGTTTTTCCTAGACACACGTAAACCAAGGTTACATATTGATTAGTTGACAAAAATAAAACCAGAGGCTCACAGGAACCTCTTTATTTCCCCTAGGAGCAATGGTTCAGTATTGGCTAGTTCAGTGTTTGCAGTGACTGTATAGAACATAATCACCACTAACAATGAGAATTGACTGTAGCTGGATTCATGTCTGCTATTTCGCTTTTTTGTTTCCCGTGTCTCCTGTCTTTTTTTGCTGTGCTCCTCTAGTCCTCCTACACTGCTTTCTTTTGCCTTTACTGAATATTTTCCAATGTAGCATTTTTATTTCTGTAATGATTTTATTCCACTATATATTTTTTGCTTTTTCCTTAGTGTTTGCTCTAGGGCTTATCATATGTTTATTTTAACTTATCAGAATCAACTTCTGATTTATACTAACTCAATTCCAGTGAGATATAAAAATACTGCTCCTATATAACTCTATTCCTTTTAGTTCTTTTTTGGGGGGCTTCTTGTTATACATATTACATCTATAAATGTTAAACAACCAACAATATATTATTATAATTATGACTTAATACACTTTTATGACTTTAAAGAAGGTAAGACAAGAAAGGAAAGCAAGTATATATTTATAGCTTTTGTTACACTAACCTTCTTTGTAACATTGCTGGTTCTCTTCACTTTTTCCTGTGGATCTGAGTTACCATCTGGAGTCATTTCCTTTGCCCGATACAGCTTTGCTCCCATGTGCCTCCTTTGTGCCAATATCATCAAATATATTACATTTCTATATGTTGTAAGCCTAACAATACATTATATACATATTGTTTTATACAGTTGCTTTTTAAATCAGTTAGGAGAAGAGAGGAGAAAAAATATGCATTTGTATTGTCTTTTGTAATTACATAATTATCTTTGCGGGTGCTCTTTGTTTTTTCATGTGGGTTAGAATTTCTGTCTGGGGTCATTTGCTTTCAGCCTGAAAAACTCCATTGAGTATGTCTTATAAGGTGAGCCTGCTAACATCACATTCTCTCAGTTTGTTTATCTGGGAATGTCTTTATTTTACCTTCATTTTTGAAAGATAGCTTTGTTGGCTATAGGATTTGGGGTTGGCAATTTTTTTCGTTTGAGCACTTCAAATATGTCATCCCACTGCCCTCTGGTCTCCATTGTTTCTGATGGGAAGCCAGCTGTTAATCTTACTAGGGTTCCCTTGTGAATGACTCATCGTTTTTCTCTTGCTGCTTTCAAGACTTTCCCCTTGTCTTTGATTTTTAGCATTTTTACTGTGATTTGTCTGTTTTTGTTCTTTTGTGTGTATCTTACTTGGAGTTCATTGAGCTTCCTGGATGTATAGATTAAAGTTTTTCAGTAAACTTGGAAAGTTTTCAACCATTATTTCTTTGAATAATAATATTTCTCCCTTGTGGCCTGACTGCCGTGTAGTCCTCCAGCAGAGACCCCAGCCCTACCCATCAGAAGTCAGTGAGGCCTCAAACCCTGAAGCCCCCCAATAAGTCCTCCATGGAGCCCTGGGCTAATTTTGAAGAGCCCTGCAGCCCAGAGCTTCACTGAGACCCCTGCCCTTGCCCCTTCAGAGACTCAACAGAGTCCAGTGGCCGAAGAATGAGGACACAAGGGGCCATGACCAGATGTTGCTCACGAGGTTGCAGGTGCAGAACCGAGCACTGGGGCATGGGCTGCTACATGGTGTGCAGGTGTCTGTGGGACAAGACTCCATCGACAACCAGACTCTGCTACTGTACACTTACTATGACAGCATCCAAGAGCTGACAATAGAGGGTCAGGCTCACAAGCCACCTCATCCTGATGACCTTCTGCCTGTGGAGGGGTGTTCTTGAGGGAGGAGACCTTGTTCTGATTTGCACACAGGGGCTGCAGGAGCCCCCAAGGGCCCTGTTGCAAGTGATAGCATCTGGGCCATGAGGAGAGGAGGAGGGTGTGAGCATGCTATCCAAGGCAGGGTTCTATAAAAGCTCAAGTTGCAATCAAGCAAAAGGCACTTGTCCCTCATGGTCATTCCTAGTGTGCTAGACTGCATCTGTGTCCCTGCCACTTCCTGTGAGCCAATCTCTGCCCCAGGAGGACACTTTTCTCTCACACTGCCCCAGCACTCGCTCCCAGTAGACACATGCCCCTTAACTCCTTCTAGAGCCAGCAGCATCAACCCACAAAGTGCATCGTCAGACGTGTCCACAGCTGAACACATCTCCCTTTTCTCAAGGCCCAGGTTCTGGGATTGTCCCATCGTCATGCCTTCTCTTGGAGTAGAAGTTCTGTTTACAAGAACAAGCCCCTCATGAGATGGAGCAAAGGGCTATTGCCTTCAGAAAGTCACCTGATTATTCCTGTCCTTGCAAAAGCAGTTCTAGTCTTTCCTACAGGGACAAACAAGGGTCAGGATAGCCTCAACTCCACTCAGGAGCCTCACAAGCCATAGCATTCACAACAGTAACTCAGCGCTGTTAAAACACAGCACACTGCTAAACACCAACAAGGAAGGGAAGGCTTCACTAAGCCTACTGCTGGGACAAAACACAACACAGAGGGGCATAAAAGCTGACAGCTCCAGGCAACTCTCACACACACTCACACATACACCCATCTCCAGCCCCACCACCCCACCATGGCTGCCTCCACCCTGTCCATCTGCTCCGGCGACCCGAGCTACGGCAGCCGGGTCTGCCAGCCCAGGGCCTGGGGCTCTTGCCCTGACTCCTCCTGGCAGGTGGACGACTGCCCAGAGAGCTGCTGCGAGCTCCCCTGCTGCGCCCCCAGCTGCTGTGCCCCGACCCCCTGCCTGACCCTCCTCTGCACCCCAGCCAGCTGTGTGTGCAGCCCCTGCCAGTCAGCCTGCACCAGCTCCTGCACACCCTCCTGCTGCCAGCAGTCTAGCTGCCAGCCCTCCTGCTGCACCTCCTCCCCCTGCCAGCAGGACTGCTGTCTGCCCATCTCCTGCACACTCATCTCCTGCACACCTGTCTCCTGCACACCTGTCTGTTGCAAGCCCATGAGCTGTGTGCCTGTCTGCTCTGGGGCCTCCCCCTGCTCAGACTCCTCATGCTGTCAGCAGTCTAGCTGCCAGCCCTCTTGCTGCACCTCCTTCCCCTGCCAGCAGGACTGCTGTGTGCCGGTCTCCTGCACACCCGTATGCTCTGGGGCTGCCCTCTGCCCAGCCCCCTCATGCTGCCAGCCCACCCCCTGCCCCCCGTCCTGCTGCAGGCCCTCCTCCTGCGTGTCCCTCACCTGCCGCCCCATGTGCAGGCCCGCCTGCTGCATGCCCGTCTCCTCCTGCTGTGCCCCCGCCTCCTGCCAGCCCAGCTGCTGCCGCCCCGCCTCATGTGTGTCCTTGCTCTACTGCCCCGTGTGCTCCTGTGCGGCCTGCTGTGGCCCCGCCTCGGCCCAGAAGTCCTGCTGCTGAGGGATCTTAAAGGCACCCCAAAGCTCACCCCAGAGCTCACTGCCATCTGCAGCCCCTGGATTCTTTACCAGGAGCCCAGACAGCTGTCAAGTCCCCTTCATGGGCCCCCAGTGGGCATTTGTGGCCACCTGGTCACCCACGTGTAGTCCTCTGAACATCTCACCCATTTCTTCAAGTACTGACTTTCCCCAAGTCAACGTGCCCTGCCTCCCCAGCCCAGGTGGGCAGTGACCCCAGCGAGGCCAGCTGGACTCTCCCAGGCCTTTGAAGCTCACGTGGAGGAAGGAGAGAAGATGAACCACTTGGAGTTGGTTTCTCATCGCTGTGACAGGACCCGGGTGTGGCCCAGCTTCCTCCACTGGTTCCTGAGCTGGTTTCTTTATCTTCCCCTCATTCTCCAACCTGCCAATCCCTTCCAATAAATTCCTTTCCTGATGAATTTAACTGGAATTCATTTCTGTTGTTTATAACCAAGATCCCTGCCTCACATTCCCCCACATAAGGGTGGTCCTGTCCCTTCAGTGGTGTCCAAAAAGCCCCCATCACTCTGTTACATGTATATCCAAGAGATTGACTCACTTTCAAGGACACAAAAAGTGAATAATCTGACAGTGGTGCCCTGCCCTGGGGAGGGGCCACCCTTCAGGGATGACTTTCCTGACCTCAGACTGTCTCCAGCCCCCTACTCCAGAAGGCTGAACCCCACAGGCCCTTTGCAGGAAGGAGTTAGTGTGGCAGGCAGGGACGGCCACCCCGGGCCTGCTCACAAGGCTGGCCCTTGGCTGGCATATGGGAACGGGACTTGGGGAGGGTTCCCATTATTGTGGGATAAGAGTGCCTCACAGGGCATAAACAGTCAGTACAAACACCATGCCCCATCTGCCGTGTGCCCATTTGCTCTGGGGCCTCCCCCTGCCCAGCCCCCTCATGCTGCCAGCAGTCTAGCTGCCAGCCTTCCTGCTGCACCTCCTCACCCTGCCAGCAGTCCTGCTGTGTGCCTGTCTGCTGCAGACCTGTCAGCTCTGGGGCTGCCCTCTGTCCAGCCCCCTCGTGCTGCCAGCCCACCCCCTGCCCCCCGTTCTGCTGCAGACCCTCCTCCTGAGTGTACCTCTTCTGCCGTCCCGTGTCCTGCCTGCTGCGTGCCAGGCTCCTCCTGCTGTGCCCCGCCTCCTCCTGCTGTGCCCCGCCTCCTGCCAGCCCAGCTGCTGCCGCCCCGCCTCCTGCGTGTCCCTGGTCTGCTGCCCTGTGTGCTTCTCGCAGCCTGCTGCAGCCCCGCCTAAGCCTAGAAGTCCTGCTGCTGACCAGCCACCACCCCCCACCCCTAGGGCCCACTCTGACTTCCCCCTGAAATCTTTGCAGCCTTGAGCCCATTCTGGGGTCTCCTTCTGCCCCAGAGCCACCCACCTCAGCAGGCTGGGCTGGCTCCCTGGGCAGGCTCCAAGTTTCATCCAGGCCCTGTGTCTCATTCAGCGTCCTCCTGTCCATCCCCTGGTGGGAGGACAGTTACTCTGTCCCCATGTTAGCAAGGGACTCTCACTCTGTTGACAAATAAAGCATATCCAGGCAAACCATGGGGAAGAACTTGATGTGGCATGTGGGCTGATCCCTCTGAGACCTGACCTTGATCTACGTCCAGGGGCGACAGCACCATCGGGCAGGGCTGGCCAGGCCTTCTCACCCTCTGCCGGGTCTCCTGTAGTATCAATCCCCCTGCAGCCTCCGGTGCAGGAAATCCTGCCCACCTGGGAGACCCCCATGTGCCTCCCAACACCTCCACCAATAAGGGACAGAGGGGCCACTTGCCTAGGCCCTGAGCCCTGCACGTCCGGTATTGGAGCTTTGCTAATGACAAAGGAAACCCTATTTAATAAAGCATCTGCCTTGAAGGCATGAGGCCCACTCCAGGGCCAGCTTCAGGCAGGCTGGTGCCAGCCGCTCTCCAGCAACCCTGGGCATGGGGATGGGTGCTTTCCTCATTCAAAGATGCCAGGAGGCTGAGAGCCACATGCAGCGACCATGGGAGCTTGTGTTCATCAGGGTTCTCCAGAGAAATGACCAATAGGATGTGTGTGTATAGAGAGAGAGAGATTTATTTTGAGGAACTGGCTCATGTGGTTGTGGAGGCTGGCAAGTCCAAAATCTAGGGTAGGCTGCCCAGCGAAGAGCTGATGTTGCAGCTCGAGTCTGAAGATGGTCTGGAGGCAGAATTTCTTCCTCTTAGGGGGACCTCAGTCTTTTCTCTTAAGGCCTTCAACTGATTGGGTGGGGCCCACCCACATTAGGGAGGGCAATCTGCCTTACTCAGAGTCCACTGATTTAATGTTAACCTCATCTAAGAAAAACCTTCGAAGCAACATCCAGACATGTTTGACCCAACATCTGGGCACCATGGCCTGACCAAGCTGACACACCAAATTAACCATCCCGGAACCAACAGCTGAGGGTGGTGGGATATTTTGAAATGTGGGGGCTCATTGGGTGCTCCCTCAGGAATTCAAGTATTAAGGCAGTCACCCTCTTGGGAGATCCAGGGAGGAGGGATTCACACTGGCCCTGCAGGGACGATGCTGGGCAGGCACACCACCTGGAGGACGCAGGCCTTGCCTGAGCCACAGGTGGTCCCCAAGGAGGAAGGGCCTTGGCTAGGGGACCTCAAATGCCCCAGGCCACATTCGAGGGAAATGTGCCTGGTGATGTCATGATGCACAGACCCCAGGTCAGAGGAAGCAGGTGTCCTCGCCAGTTCCCACCTCCATGGTGGCTGGCTGACCACTGGCTGGCCATCCCCGTGGATGCCAACACGGCAGCCTCCTGAGGGTGGGGTGGGGCACGTCCTGCCCTCCTCCCTGGTCCTGGAGGCGTTGCCCCTGTGTTCACTGGTCTCTGGGACCAGCCACCCGCACTGGCCCAGCCTCTCCCTGTCCTACCCCTCCCCTCCTCTGCCCTGTCCCACGCGGCTCTCCATCTTCTAACCCACCCTCTCCTTCCCCCAGGGACACCCAGGCGCCCTGCCTCTCCTGGCTCTCCCGCAGACCCCTCCTCCCAGTCCTGCCTCCGCTCTCTGCAGTGATCCTCTCTCTGCACACAGCCAGGGTGAGCTTTCCAGAGATCCTGCCTCACGACAGACCCTTTCACGGCATCAAGCCGTACACGGTGACCAGCCCACCTGCCTGCCCATCGCCCACCAATCCCCTCGTCTCCCAGCTGCCCACTCCCCATCACTTTCTAGAGTTTCTTACTCCTGAAGATGTTTTAAAGCTGACTTTCCTCTCTCTAAGTATCTGTGGATATTCGTTTCATCATCTGCGGGCGGTAACTGCCATATTTGACATCTCTGCAGGTCCGTTTCGGTTTTCTGCCGTGTCAGCCAGTTCCTGCTCACGTGTCTTCTTTCCTGGTGTGCTTGGTTATCTTTGGCTGAGTAATGGTCCTTGTCCTTGGGAAAGGATCTATGAGCATCTGAGGCTACCCGGGAGGGAGTGGGGGGGCACAGCAGGGAGTGCTGTCCTGCCCCCCGTGCCCAGCCTGGTCTGCAGGCCCCGTGAGCCCACCCACCCTGCCTCGAGACCACCTGACCTTGCGTGTTCCGGGCTCGCCCCCACCGTGTGACCTTGCGTGTTCCGGGCTCGCCCCCACCCGGCTCGTTGGCAGGTCCGCGTACCACGTGGGAGCGGGGAGGGCGCTTTTGCACGCCCGCGGTCCCTGGCGGTGGCGGCTGCTCTTCCCGTGGGCCCCCCCCTGCCTGGGACCAGCCCCGCCCTGCCAGACGGCCACATGTCCCCACTGCCTGGGATGCTGGGATGAAACGAGCACGCCACATGCAGGGGCTCAGCCCTCCCTTCTGTCAGCCCTGGTCTCGCACTTTTCACGGACTTGGGGGTGTTGGGAGCCATGCTGACACACGTTCCCCCATTTGCAGACCCCATCCTTCCGCTCAGTGGGAAGAAGGGAGGAAGCTCTGAGTGCGGGTGCAAACAGCCTACACATTGTCTCCTTCCGTCCTTTCGCTGCATGACTGCTGCGGGGGCGGCGCGTGATTGAATTGTGACCGTGCTACCATCTTTTGGGTTTTTATTTTAGGAACCATTCTGAGAGACTTTTTTTCATCTAATGAGAAATATTAGATGACATTTACTTTAAACTGACCACTTGGCTCTGGATTCTGCCATGTTGGTGAAGTTCTCTGCGTTGTAAGTTTTCTTCTTGTTTCTGCTGCTTTTAGTCTTTAAAATATCTACCATGAAATTTTGAAATATATGTATTCTGTTTTTAGTTATACTAATGAATATCTGTTTTCCTTTATATTTATGTTTTAATCATTAAAGTCAAGAATGAAACAATACAATGTGAGAAACGTCTATCAAAGACAATTGATTTTCCTTCCTCCATATCCATCCACACCTCCACCCCCCACCCTCCCACTCATCAGTCTTTCTGGCACAGTCAGGCCCCGCATCACAACGTTTTACTCAATGGTGGATCACATATATGACAGTGGTCCCATAAGACCAGTACCATCGAGCTCAGGTGTGTAGGAGGCTGTACCATCCAGGTTTGTGTAAGTCACTCTATGATGTTCGCACCATGACGACATCGCCTAATGACGCATTTCTCAGAACACGTCCCTATTGTTGTGACACACGACTGTATAATCCAAAGCAGCGCTCTCCAACAGAAACAGCGCAAGCCACGTATGTAACTGTAACTATTATAGTAGCCACATTTGAAAATGGAAAAGAACAGGTGAAATTAATTTAATAACATATTTTATTTAACCCAATATATCCAAAATGCTATCATTTCAACATGCGGTACTGGCTACTTTTCAAGTGCTCAGTTGTCACAAGTGGCTAGTGCTCTCACATTGACAGCACGGGATAAAGCATCAGGGCCTCACCGCTGTTGTGACAGAGGACGTATTCCACCACACGTCGGTTATAATAAGTCGGAGATTTGCATTTGCACTTAGAACCCATGGCACAGGATATTTAGACTTCCGCCATGTCTCCCTTCCTTTGCACCCACACCAGCCCAACCTCTGTGTCCTTGAACTTGGTCACTTGTCATATTTCTTTCAGTATTTTTTTCAGAAGGGAAACATGAGTGGAATACTTTCCAAGCTCTTGCTTATGTGAAAATACATTGCTGTTATCTTTACTTGAGGACGATGTAATAATTTGAAAAAGAAAAGCTCACCCTTAGTGCCTGGCGTTCCCCTAGAAGCTCTGTGTCTTTCTCTGTTTGCTGGAGGAGGGGTCCAGGGTCAGTCCGGCGTTGGTGCATTTCCAGAGAGCACGCCATTTCTTCCTGTGTGGCGATGGGACTGTTCTTAATTCTTTTCATTTAAAAACTTGCCCGGATATGTCTAGGGTGGGCTCTAGAGACCTGATTCTCTTGAAATTTGTGAACTCTTTCCACTCCAGATGCACACATCTTTGTCCATTCAACTCAGAGTGGTTCACGCTGAGTTATCATATTTGGTGTCAGCTAAACACACCGTCTGTTTACTATATTTTCTCTCATTGAGTTTGTGGGTGTCATCTTTTACTTCTGTGTTTTGGAGGAACTAGCAGTGTTCGTCCTTAATACCATTGAACTGATTCTCCATGGTGTTAATTTTGCTCCTTCCTGCCTCTGTTGTGAATTTTTAATCCAGCTGCTTGATGTAAATTTCCTTGGCACTTGCCGTCTTCCATCTCCACCACTGTATTTGGAATGGGGACGTCCTGGTTAAGAGCGCAGATCCTGTATACACATGGCTGCCCTCCAGTCCCAGTGCTGCCACTTTGGGTTGTGTGACCTTGAGGAGGTTGCTTAACCTCTTTGCACCCAGGCTCCCTCATCTGTGCACAGGAACTTCCTCACTGAGTTGATGTGAACATAAGTGAGTTAACAGATGTGAAATGCTCAGAACACCACCTGGCACAGAGCATGCACTCAGAAAACGTCATCTAACATCACCAGCAGTGTCCTCAGAGCTATTTGAGGATCATTTCTAAGAAATTGAAGTTTTCACCAGGGGCAGTCCATTAGGACTTTGCGTCCCAGGTTCACTGGGACCATATTGTCTTGTATTCCATGACGCAAAGCTACTGTTGCCTGAGTTTTCCTCTTGGGCATTGCCCTGGATCCACGTGTCCGTTTCTCACAGGCGGGGTCTTCAGGAGACGGTCTTTCTCTCCCCCTCAGTGAACGAAGTCTTTCCGGGCATGTTATCAGAGGTTCGGGGATTCGATCGGAGACGTAAAAGACACTTTCCACTCCAAACAAATGGGCTGAAGGTATATTTTATTATATAGAGGATAGTAAAGGTGACAGTCTGCAAACAGATCAAATAGGTCAAATATTAAGAGGAAAAAACATCAGCCCGACTGGAAAGGGAAAACACCCACATCGGCTGAAGAGAAATGACACAAATCAACCGGAAAGAGAAACACCAGGTTAACCGAAAAGAGAACACATCAAATCAATTACTTCACATCAAATCAGTTACTCACAACATCCACGCCCCACTGCCGGGAGAGCCCTGTCAATCGACGCGGCTGGGCAAGGATCACACGTCCTGGGCAAGGTGTCCCTTCCACAGGTGGAACTCTCACCCGGTCTCAGTTTCCAGCAGTTTTTATACCATCAGTAATTTTCAGAGTAAGCAATTACAGAGTTTGCAGAGCAAGCATTTAGTGTTCCCATGCACAAATGGTTATCAGTGGCGTACGTGCACTGAGCCCCCTGGCTAACGTCCCAGCCCAGTAGTTGCGTACGTGCATTGTTCTCTTTGGTTATCGTCCCAGCCCGGCACAGATGGCCAGTCCATCCCGTGCTACGACGCTCCAAGAGCCTTGAAATGTTACAACTTGCAACTCCCTCCGTGAGAGAAGGGCCAGTTCCCACCACGCAGAAAGCAGCCTTGTATTTCTTTTTTGTGCTGGTGGCTGTAGGTCAATGGAGCGGCCAAACATGGCTGTACTCATGTCAAGACAGGGCATCACCCTTGAGTGAGGCAAATTCTGGCCAGAGGAGGTGTTTGTCCGGCCATAGAGGAGGAGTGCACGGGCACGTGCTGGAAGGCCATGTGCGTGTGGGTGAAATCTTGATGGACACTGAGTGACTGAGGATGGTAACGGCCCTGAGTCCCCCATGGCTATGTCACGGCACCTCAATTTTCTCAGATACGACATGCATGCTGTTTGTGCAGTTGCACAATGTATCCACGCCTTATCCGCAGTCCGTTAACGTTCCTCTCGGGCGCCGTATGTTGGGGCTGCGATGGCGTTGGGCGTCTCTCCCACCTGCTTTCGCCCTGCACAACGAGTGTGGGGAGGGCTGTGGTGGCTGCCTGTGGTCCCCCACCCTGCCCTCCGCAAACATGGCCTTAGCCCCGTCTCTATGACCTAATCCTCTGCACCAGTTGTATTTTATAACACGTGCAAGTGTCATTTTACACCTAAATTTTAAAATACCTCAAAGTAGTAAAATAATTGAAAGCACTCCAAACACAGGAGAGACGGAACCAGAATTAACCACTTTGGAGAAGTGCTCCCCTCTAAACCCCAACTCAGCAAAAACTCGCCTCACATATTTTCCATCAGTTTTCTGGACCAAACAAAGGAGATGTGGGAAAACACATCCTGCAACATACACACAGGTTTAATGAGTGAGAACTATTGTGGAAAATGACCCAGCACTAATGAGGGCCTCCGGCAGCCGGCTCTCAGCATCAACAAGGAAGGGAGGGCGTCCTGGGGACAACACAAGCCAGGGAGGGGTATAAAAGCCCAGAGCCCCGGGCACCGCACACACACTCACTCACATACTCACACTCACACTCGCACCCTCCTCCAGCCCCACCACCCCCACCATGGCCGCCTCCACCCTGTCCGTCTGCTCCAGCGACCTGAGCTACGGCAGCCGGGTCTGCCAGCCCGGGTCCTGGGACTCCTGCCCCGGCTCCTCCTGGCAGGTGGACGACTGCCCAGAGAGCTGCTGTGAGCCCCCCTGCTGTGCCCCCAGCTGCTGCGCCCCGGCCCCTTGCCTGACCCTCCTCTGCACCCCAGCCAGCTGTGTGTGCAGCCCCCGCCAGTCAGCCTGCACCAGCTCCTGCACGCCCTCCTGCTGCCAGCAGTCTAGCTGCCAGCCCTCCTGCTGCACCTCCTCCCCCTGCCAGCAGTCCTGCTGTGTGCCCGTCTCCTGCACACCCGTCTGCTCTGGGGCCGCCCCCTGCCCAGCCCCCTCGTGCTGCCAGCCCACCCCCTGCCCCTCGTCCTGCTGCAGACCCTCCTCCTGCGTGTCCCTCACCTGCCGCCCCGTGTGCAGGCCCGCCTGCTGCGTGCCCGTCTCCTCATGCTGTGCCCCCGCCTCCTTCCAGCCCACCTGCTGCCGCCCGGCCTCCTGTGTGTCCCTGCTCTGCCACCCAGTGTGCTCCCGCGCAGCCTGCTGCGGCCCCGCTTCTGCCGAGAAGTCCTACTGCTGACCAAGCACTGCCCCTGGGGCCAGCCGGGCTCCCGGTCCCCCCTGTGACTATGGTCCTCCCAGCCCCTTCTCAGTCCAGTCCTGACCTATTAGGTGGCTGCACTCACCCAGGACGAGGTCTCCCCATGTGTCCACTTGACCTCTGCCTCCCGGGAACCCCCAACCTCGCTGCTGCCCCAGCTCCTGCCTCCAGGAGGCACCCCCACCTGCCTCTGGGTCACCTGTCCTCCCCCAGTTTCTCTGCTCGGGTCACTTGTTGACTCCCAGCTGTCAGCACCTCGTTGGGCTCCCCAATAAACTCCCTTCATCACCTGATCTGCTTCCTTCATCTGACACTTGGGGGGGGTGGGGAGGGACACGGTTTTGACCAGACATTGATCTCCTCCAGCCACGAATATTTGTAGAAATGAATGACTGAGGAACCCCAAAGGGCAGTGGCCTCCCTCCTCTGGGCAGGGTAGCGGGTGGGACACACGCCCTTGCCCAGGAAAGTCAGTGCCTGCTCAGGCCTGTGCCCAGTGCTTCCTCAAGTCTGGTCACCTGCAGACATGGTCTGGGGGTTCTCAGCTCCCCTGACCATGTCCACCCACTTTCCCATCTGGGCAAACCAGACCCCCAGGGTTACCTGTCAGGAAGCCAGCCTGGGGGCTCCATGCAGCACAGACTCTACAGGGCCCGGGGTCACCCTCATGGTCCATCCACAGGTCTAGACTTTTATCAGAAATGTGACGGAGGGAGAGAAGAGCTGCTCTAACTGAGATGTGGTAAGAGGGACTGGATGACCTTCCCACCTGGGCCATTCCCCAAAATTCACAAAATCATGAAACAATGGTGTTCAGGTACTAGACTTGAGGAACAGAGAACAGGCACAGCAGAGAGAGAGAAACAGCAAAGTGGCTCTCACATCTGGCCCAGCTTACCACCTAGAGAATATTTCCAGGCCCCAGTACAGAAAGAGTGAACCCACATGGAGCTCCACGGACCCCTGGGTTTCAGAGATGGCCTTGGGCATTGGGGGAGACCCAGGCAGCTCATGTTTGGCGTCAGAGTGCCAGAGAGAAGAGAGCTGCACTGAGTACTCCCCAGTTCCACAGAGGGTCTCCCTCCAGGGTCAGCTGAACAATCATCAGCAAACACATGTGATACTGAGACTGGCACAAACCAATAAAATTAGATGGACCGATCCCCAGGGATCAAACCAAGACTGAACTAGTGCCTGCCCCACCTGCCAGTTGGAAAATGCGCATAATTCTCAGGACACCAGGTAGACTACTCAGAAGGGTATTGCCTCAGTTGTGGGGTAAAATTAGCCCCAGCATTACCACTGGTCTAGTCCTACCTGAGAGAGCTTACATGCAAACCTCAAAGAATGAGCCATTTCCAAGGAACTTACTACATCCCAGAACAAAGGTCAAGAATCTTCATAGGAATACAAAATATCCAGCACTCAACAAGGTAAAATTCATAATGTCAGACATCCATTCAGAAATCACCAGGCATGCAAAGAGGCAGGAAAATATAACCCGTAATGAGGATAAAATCAATCCATCAAAACCAAGCCAGAAATGTCACAGACGATAGAATTAGTAAGACTTATGACTATGTTCCATCTGTCCAAGAAGTTAGAGAAAAGATTAACCAAGCGTATTAAGGAAAGACATAGAAGACCTAAAAAAGATACAAATAGAACATCTAGAGAGGAAGACTACAATGTCTGAGGTGAAAATTACACTAAATGAGATTAGCAGCAAAATAGACACTGCAGAAGAAAAGACAAGTGAACTTGAAGGTAGAGAAATGGAAATCATCTAAATGAAACACAGAGAAGAAAAAGAAACAGACAGAGCATTAGTGAACTGTAAGACAATTTCAAGTGACCTAATGCATGTATAATTGGAGTCCCCAAAGAAGAAAAGAGAGAATGAACAGAAAAGAGACTGTCAGATTGGATAAAATGGCAAACCCCAGCTATGCTGCCTAGAAGAAGTACACTTTAAATATAAAGAAAAAAAGAGGTTAAAATTAAAAATGGAAAAATAAGAGTAAATTAAACTCCAAGCAGGCATAAATTTTGAAATGATAAAGATTAAAGCAAAAATCAATGAAATTGAAAACAGTAAAACAATAGTGATAATCAATGAAACCAAAACTTGTGTTTTGACATGATAAACAAATTTGATAAACTCTAGCTAGATTGAGTGAGAAAAAGATAAAGAAGACACAAATTACCAATATCAGGAATGGGAGAGGATGAATTAATACAGACCCCATAGATATTAAAAGGATTAAAAGGGAGTATAACAAAAAATTCTCTTCCTAAAAATTGGACAATTAAGATGAAATGGACTCATTCCTTGAAGACACAAACTACCAAAGCTCACTCAAGAAAAAACAGACAAACTTAATTGTCCTATATCAATTTAATAGACTTTTTTTTTAGGCAAGTTTTAAGTTCACAGCAAAATTGATTGGCAAGTACACAGACTTCCCATAATACCCCCACTCTCACACCTGCACAGCCTCTTCCACTATCAACATCTTGAGATGTTGATACATTTGTTACAAAAGTGGTTTATTTGTAACATTGGTTCATTGACACATCAATATCATCCAAAGTTCATAGTTTACATTAGGGTTCACTCTCAGTGTACGTTCTGTGAGTTTTGATAAATGTATAATGATAAATATGGACTATTATAGGTCATACAGAATAGATTCCCTGCCCTAAAAATCCCCTGTGCACCACCTATTCATCCCTCCTTCCCCCCCTGGCAACCATTGATCTTTCTACTGTCTCCATAGTTTTCTCTTTTCTAGAATGTCACATAGTCGCAATTAGACATTATGGAGACTTTTCAGATTGGCTTCTTTCACTTAGAAATGTGCATTTAAGGTTCTCCCATGTCTTTTCATGGCTTGAAGGCCTATTTCTTTTTTTTTCTAATTTTTTTATTGAGGTAAAATACACATAACATAAAATTTACTATCTTAACCATTTTTAAGTATACAGTTCAGTGGTATTAAGTACATTCATAATGTTGTGCAACCATCACCACCCATCCATATCCAGATCTCTTTTTGACTTTCAAAACTGAAACTCTATACACATTAAACAATAACTCCCCATTCTTCCCTTCCCCAGGCCCTGAGAAACACCATTCTACTTTCTGTCTCTAAAGTACCTCATCTAAGTGGAATTATATAGTATTTGTCTTTCTGTGACTGGCTTATTTCAATTACCACAGTATTCTCATGGTTCATCCATGTTGATGTCAGACTTGCTTCCTTTTTAAGGCTGAATAATATTCCAATGTATGTATATACCACATTTTTCTTATCCATTCATCCATGGATGGACACTTAGGTTTATTACACGTTTTAGCTATCGTTAGTAACACTGCTATGAACGTGGGTTTACAAATATCTATTCGAGACCCTGCTTTCAATTCTTTTGAGCATATACCCAGTAGAATTACTGGATTATATGGTAATTCTACTCTTAATTTTTTGAGGAACCATAATACTGATTTCCACAGTAGTCATACCATTTGCTGTTCCCACCAAGAGTGCACAAGTGTTCCAATTTCTCCACATTCTCACCAACACTTGTTATTTTCTGTTTGTTTTTTATATATAGTAGTCATCCTAATAGATGTAAGGTGGTATCTTATTGTAGTTTTGATATGCATTTTTCTAATGATTAGTGATGTTGAACATCTTTTCATGTGTTTATTGGCTATTTGTATGTCTTCATTGGAAAAATGTCTATTCAAGTCCTTTGCCCATTTTTGAAGCAGTTTTTTTTTTTTTTTTGCGAGGAAGATCAGCCCTAAGCTAACATCTGCCAATTCTCCTCTTTTTGCTGAGGAAGACTGGCCCTGAGCTAACATCCATGCCCATCTTCCTCCACTTTATGTGTGACACCACCACAGCATGGCCTGACAAGCGGTGTGTCGGTGTGTGCCCGGGATCCGAACCGGCGAACCCCGGGCTGGCGCAGCCGAGCGCACGCATTTAACTTCTTGCGCCACCGGGCCAGCCCCGAAGCAGTTTGTTTTTGTTATTGAGTTTTAGGAGTTCTCTCTATATTCTGGATATTAATCCCTTATCAGATACATGATTTTCAAATGTTTTCTCCTATTTCTTTGGGTTATCTTTTTTCTCTGTTGATATTGTCTTTTCATGCAAAAATATTTAAAATTTCCATGAAGTTCAATTTGTGTATTTTTCTTATGTTGTCTATGCCTTTGGTGTCATATCCAGGAAATCATTGCCAAATCCAATGCATGGAGGTTTTGTCCTATGTTTTCTACTAAGACTTTTATAGTTTTAGGTCTTAGATTTAGGTCACGGATCCATTTTGAGTTAATTTTTGTATACAGTGTTAGGTAAGGGTCCAACTTCATTCTTTTGTATGTGGAGATCCAGTTTTCCCAGGACCATTTGTTGAAAAGACTATCTTTTCTCCATTGAATGGACTTGGTGCCCTTGTCAAAAATGATTTGACCTAATATGTGAGGGTTTATTTCTGGACTCCCTATTCTATTCCATTGGTCCATATGTCTGTCTTTATGCCAGTACCCCCCTGTTTTGATTACTGTAGCTTTGTAGTAAGTTCTGAAATCAGGAATTGTGAGCCCTCCAGCTTTGTTCTTTTTCAGGATCATTTTGGCTATTCAGGGTCCTTTAAGATTCCATATGAATTTTAGGATGGGTTTTCATATTTCTGCAAAAAATGTCATTGAGATTTTGATAGTGATTGCATTCAATCTATAGATCACTTTTGATAGTATTGACATCTTAATGATATTAAGTCTTCCAATCTATGAACATGGGATGTCTTTCCATTTATTTATCTCTTCTTTAATTTCTTTGAGCAATGTTTTATAGTCTTCATTGTATAGGTCTTTCACCTCCTTGGTTAAGTTAATTCCTAACTATTTTATTCTCTTTGATGCTATTGTAAATGAAATTGTTTCTGTAATTTCTTTTTTGGGTTGTTCACTGTTAGCATGCAGAAATACATCTGATTTTTTATGTGCGTTGACTTTGTATCCTGCTATTTTGCTGAATTCATTTATTAGTTCTAACAGGTATTTTTTGTGGAATCTTTAGGATTTTCTACATATAATATCATAGCATCTGCAAACAGAGATGATTCTTCATTTCTAATTTAGATGCCTTTTATTTCTTTTATTGCCTAACTGCTCTCCTAGACCTTCCAGTACTGGGGTGAATAGAAGTGACAAAGGTGGGCTTCCTTGCCTTGTTCCTGATCTTAGAGGAAAAGCTTTCAGTCTTTCAACATTGAACATGATGTTTGCTGTGGGTTTTTCATATATATTTTTTACTATGTTGAGGTAGTTTCTTTCTATTTCTAGTTTCTTGGGTGTTTTTATCATGAAAGGGTGTTGAATTTTGTCAAATGCTTTTTCTGCATCAATTGAAATGATTATGCATTTTTCCCCCATTCTGTTAATGTGGAGCATTACATTGATTGATTTTCATATGTAGAACCATCCTTGCATTCCAGGAATAGATCTCTCTTGGTCATGGTATACAATCCTTTTAATATACTGCTTAATTCAGTTTGCTAGTATTTTGCTGGGGATTTTTTGCATCAATTTTCGTAAGGGATATTTGTCCTCAGTTTTCTTTTCTTGTAGTGTCTTCATCTGGCTTTGGTCTCAGGGTAATGCTGGCCTTGCAGAATCAGTTAGGGAGTGTTCCTTCCTCTTTAATTTTTAAAAACGCTTACAGTGAATGAGGAATAAATGAAAAAATCCTAAATCTGGTATAAGACATTTATGAAAAACTTACAGCCAACACCATACTCAATTGTAAAAGAGTGAATGCTTTTCCCCTAAGACCGGGAACAAGACACAGATGTCCTCTGAATCAGATCGTACTGAAGGTCCACCCAGCGCAAGAAGGCAGGCAAAGGAAATAAAAGGCATACATATTGGAAATGAAGCAATAAAATTGTGTCTATTCACAGAAGACATGATCGTCCACATAGAAAACCCTCAAGAATCTATTAAAAAAAAAAACTCCCAGAAATATAAGAGAATTGAGTAAGGCTGAAGAATGCAAGCTTAAAATAATAAAAGTTAATTATATTTCTATATAATAGCAGTAAACAATTGGAATTCAAAAATTTTGTTTAAAAGTATGATTTGCAACAGAATAAAAAATGAAAACTTAAGTATAAATCTAACAGAAAATGTACATAATGAAAACACTGATGAAAGAAATCACAGAAGACAGAAATAAATGGAGAACAAGACCACGTTCACAGGTTGAAGTATTGTTGTGACGTCAGTTACCTCCAGCTAGATCAAGGCAGTCCCAACCAAAATCCCAGAAAGATTTTTTTGCTGATATTGACAAGTTGATTCTGTAATTATTTGGAAAGGAAAAGATGCTCAAATAGACAAAATAATTTGAAATGAAGAACAAAGTTGGAGGACTCACACTACCTGACTTCAAGATTTTCTATAAAGCTGTAGTAATCAAGACAACACAATGTTGACAAAAGGAGAGGTATGCAGATCAACAGAACAGAATAGAGAGATAGACCCACATAGATAGAGTCATCTGATTTTGGACAAAAGTGCAAAGGCAAGTTAATGAAACAGAAGCATATTTGGAACAATTGGATGTCTATATACAAAAAAACATGAACTTTGGCCCATACCTTGCACTTAATGTAAAAATTTAATCAAAACTGATCATAGACCTAAATGTAAAAGTTTTAAACTTTTAGAAGAAAATCTTTGTGACCTTGTGTTAGGCAGAGAGTTCTTAGATTCAACACCAAAAGCGTGATCTAAGAAAGAAAAAAAGTGATAACCTGGACTTTATCAACATTAAACTCTTTTGCTCTTCAAAAGACACTGTCAAGAGAATGAAAAGACAGATGAACCACAGAGTAGTAGAAAATATTTGCAAATCACACATCTGACCAAATTGCTTACGTCCAAAATACATAAAGAACTCTCAAAATTCAATATTAAGAAAACCTAACGAAGGAAGGGGCCTAAAGATTTGAAGAAATACTGCCAAGTGTCAGCAAGGATGTGGAGGAACTGAAACTCTCCTGCAGTGTTGGTGGAAATGTAAAAGAGTACAACCACTTTGGAAGACAGTTTGACAAATAAGCACATTAAAGAATTTCAGCACATCACTAGCCATCAGGGCAATGCAAATTAAAGTACAATAAGATATCACTGCACACCTATTAGAACGGCTAAAATATAAAAAAATTCTCACAACATTAAGAGGCACAGCCACTTTGGAAAGTAGTTTGGCAGTTTCTTGTAAAGTTAAACATACACCTACCATGTGACCCAGCAATTCCACCCCTAGGTGTTTTACCCTAGGGAAATGAAAGTCATTATCATGCAAAAATCTGCACACAATGTTATAGCAGCTTTGTTCTTAATCATCAAAAACAGGAAATGATGAAAATGTCCTTCAGTCATTGACTGAATAAACAACTGTGGTGCATCCATTCAGTGGAGCGCTACTCAGCAAGAAAAGGGAATGAACTATTGATGTACACGACCACACAGATGAATCTCAAGTGCATTTTGCTAAATGAAAGAAGTCAGACCCAGAAGGCTACGTACTATATGATGCATTTATATGACATTCTAGAAGAGACACAACGTAGTGACTCAGAATCAGTGGTTGCCAGCAGTTTGGGATGAGGGAAGAGTTGACTACAGTGGAGCAACACAAGGGAAATTTAGAGGGGGAGGAATTCTGCGTGATGCTGGGGTGGTACATACACACAGAACTCAGAGCTACACAGCACAAGGAGTGAATTAAATGAAGACGGAGGAGGAGGATTCACAGTTCCTTGGTTCTGTGAGGTCAAGCAGATGCATTTCTTCTCCCCGAAGAAGCTAACACCCTTAACCTGCTTTGTGCTAGTTTTTTGGGTTTTTTTTTTTTTCTTTATTATTTTTTGTATTCCACTTCCTTTGGGTTTGTGTTTTGTTTGGCTGGACCATGTACTCTTGAGATGCTTTCATGGATAGTGTATGAGTGGCACTTTTTCAGAATAGCTGTATTATCGGAAATACTTCAATATCCATACACCAGATGACCTAGTGCAGTTATATAATCCAAGTCATTTTCCCTCAGACTTTGAAGATTTGGTTCCGTCGTCTTCAGGCATCTTGATTTGCTGAGTTGAAGTAAGATGCTGATCTCTCTGGAAGCTTTCAGGATGTATCTTCCTGTTTGGTGTCAGACACTTCACCAGTGCATGTAGACACGCACCATTTTCCATTCATCTTGTCCCATATTGGGTCAAATTCCATCTGAAGTCCCCTCTTTCCCTTCTGCTCCGGAAAATGTTCTGTTTCTCCTTTTTGCTGCTCTCTCTTTCTGGAAATCTTATTTGGTGAACGTTGGACCTTCTAGAAGTATCATCTGCTTCTCTGAAGTCTCCTTCCTGTATTCCATCTCTCACTGTGTTTGATACACTTCTTTGTCTATCTTCCCACTTCCTCTTGGGCTGGTCTGTCCTTGTGCCCAGCCCTTCTGTTTGGGGGGCCGTCCTACCCTGATGATCTGCACTGTCTTGCTTCCAGCTCCACGTTCTCGGCCACTGAGACTCTGGGACTCACTCCTCCTCACCTGCAGCGTGACAGAGAACACCTGGAGGGTGAGCAAGCAAGCGAGCAGGGCAGACACCCGCTGGGAGGGCTCCAGAATCTAGATTTTTCCTGTGGTGTTTGCTTGGAGAACCAAACACAGGTCAGGGAGTCAACCATGTCCATGTTTTACAAGCAGCAAACACTTTTATGTAAATAAACCAGAGTAATAAGGGCTCCCAGGACTCAGCTCAAACACCAACAAGGAAGGAGAAGGCTCACTGAGCCTCCTGCTGGGGCAACACACACCCTGGAGGGGTATAAAAGCCCACAGCCCCGGGCACCACACACACTCACACACTCACACACTCACACTCACACCCTCCTCCAGCCCCACCGCCCCACCATGGCCGCCTCCACCCTGTCCGTCTGCTCCAGCGACCTGAGCTACGGCAGCCGGGTCTGCCAGCCCGGGTCCTGGGACTCCTGCCCCGGCTCCTCCTGGCAGGTGGACGACTGCCCAGAGAGCTGCTGCGAGCCCCCCTGCTGCGCCCCCAGCTGCTGCACCCCGGCCCCCTCCCTGACCCTCCTCTGCACCCCAGCCAGCTGTGTGTGCAGCCCCCGCCAGTCAGCCTGCACCAGCTCCTGCACGCCCTCCTGCTGCCAGCAGTCTAGCTGCCAGCCCTCCTGCTGCACCTCCTCCCCCTGCCAGCAGTCCTGCTCTGTGCCCGTCTGCTGCACACCCATCTGCTCCACACCTGTCTCCTGCACACCTATCTGCTGCACACCTGTCTGCTGCAAGACTGCAAGCTGTGTGCCCGTCTGCTCTGGGGCCTCTCCCTGCTCAGCCCCCTCATGCTGCCAGCAGTCTAGCTGCCAGCCCTCCTGCTGCACCTCCTCCCCCTGCCAGCAGGACTGCTGTGTGCCTGTCTGCTGCACACCCGTCTGCTCTGGGGCTGCCCTCTGCCCAGCCCCCTCGTGCTGCCAGCCCACCCCCTGCCCCTCGTCCTGCTGCAGACCCTCCTCCCGCGTGTCCCTCATCAGCCGCCCTGTGTGCAGACCCTCCTCCTGCGTGTCCCTCACCTGCCGCCCCGTATGCAGGCCCGCCTGCTGCGTGCCCGTCTCCTCCTGCTGTGCCCCCGCCTCCTGCCAGCCCAGCTGCTGCCGCCCGGCCTCCTGCGTGTCCCTGCTCTGCCACCCCATGTGCTCCTGCGCGGCCTGCTACAGCCCCGCCTCAGCCCACAAGTCCTGCTGCTGACTGGGCACAGCCCCCAAGTCCAGCCGGGCTCCTCCATGACTGTGGCCCTCCCAGCCCCCTCAGTCCAGTCCTGACCTGTTAGGTGGTTGCCCCCACCCAGGACGGGGCCCCCCTATGTGTCCACTGTCCTGACCTGACCTCTGCCTCCCAGGAACCCCCAACCTCGCTGCTGCCCCAGCTCCTGCCTCCAGGTCACCTGTCCTCTCCCAGTTTCTCTGCTCTGGTCAGACTCTGCTTGTCGACTTCCAACCTGTCAGCACTTTCTCGGACTCCCCAGTAAACTCACCTCATCACCTGATCTGCTTCCCTCATCTGACACTCGGGGGGGTGGGGGACACACACAGTTTTGACCAGACATTGGTCTCCTCCAGCCACAAATATCCGTAGTAACGAGTGACTGAGAAATCCCAAAGGGCAGTGGCCTCATCCCTCTGGGTAGGGTCCCTGGGTGGGACTCACGCCCTTGCCCAGGAAGGTCAGAGCCTGCTCAGGCCTGTGCCTGAGACGTGACCAGGCAGCGTGGAGATTCCCTGTTCCGAGGCGCCCTGCTGTGAAGTCAACCCCTTCCCCAGCCACCTGCCTCATGTTCCCAGACATCACCCTAAGGGTGTTGTCCTTACTGTCATTTGCTGGCCTCCAAGCATCACATCCACTTCCTGAACGTTGTCACATGGGAAAGTTCCCCTCCCGTGGAAGGCACGTCCAGGTGCCACCTCCCACCAGGGAAACCGATGGGTCATGTGTGTCCCCCTCAGCCCCTGGAGTGGCAGAGGCCATGTGACCAAGTGGGTTTCACTGAATTAAGCGTGATATTAACTATGAGGGCTATGGAGGCTCTTCACTTCTTTAGCATAAGAGGTGCATGGAATTTGGGCAGACTGGCTTAAAAAAGATTATGCTCTATAACTACTTTACATATCTGCTTAAGCATTCAGGTTTAATCACTTTCAATGTTTTACGCTTTTAATGTGTCAAGCTGGGAATTAACAGGCTCTAAATTGCAATTACATATAGTCAAGTACACACGGTTTCTGCATAGTCCGAGCTGGAAACTGACGTGTGGCCGGGATCGCTGGTGTCCTGAGATCACGATCGTGGTGGGCGGTGCATGGATTTTCATTGTGGTCAGATACACATTACACAAACCATTTTAAGTGCACAGTTCAGTGGCATTAAGCACATTCACAGCGTTGTGCAAAACCATTACCACCATCCATCTCCAGAACTTCCCATCTTCCCAAACTGAAACTCTGTCCCCATTAAACACTAACTCCCCATCCCCCTCCCCCAGCCTCTGGCACCCACCTTTCTACTTTCTGTCTCTATGAATCTGACTACATTTTGTACCTTATATAAGTGGAATCACACAGTATTTGTCCTTTTGTCACTGGCTTATTTCACTTGGGATAATGTTCTCAAGGCTCATCCATGTTGATGTCAGAACTTCCTTCCTTTTCAAGGCTGAATAGTATTCCATTGTATGGATACATCACATTTGACTTATCCACTCATTCTTCCATTGATGGACACTTGGGTTGCTTCTCCATTTTGGCTACTGTAAGTAATGTTCCTGTGAGCATGGGTGCACAACTATCTCTAAGATCCTGCTTTCAATCCTTTTGGGTATATGCACAGAAGTGGAATTGCTGGATCATACCTAATTGTAAATTGATTTTTTGAGGGACTATCATACTGTTTTTTACAACAGAAGCACCATTGCTTTCCACCAGCAGTGCACAATGGTTCCGATTTCTCCACATCCTGGCCAGCTATTGCTATTTTCTGCTTTTCTGACAGTAGCAATGCTCACGGGTGTGAGAGGTGGATTTGGCTTTATCACAGACCATGGTTACCGCAGCAGGCCCTGCAGCCGGTCAGCCTGGCCCTCACCTGCCCCGCCCTCACCGGCCTGACCTCTCTTGTCCCGCCCTCACCTGCCCATCCTCACCTGCCCCGCCCTCCCAGGCCCGCCCTCTCTTGCCCCACCCTCACCTTCCCCCCACTCCCAGGCCCTGCCCTCTCTTGCCCCACCCTCCCAGGCCCCGCCCTCCCGGCTCCGCCCTCCCAGGCCCCGCCCTCCCGGCCCCGCCCTCTCTTGCCCCGCCCTCCCAGGCCCCGCCCTCACCCGCCGCCCTCTCTTGCAGAAGAACGAGTACCTGCTCACGGTGGTGGCGGAGGAGCGGGACGCGCTGCTGCTCGGCCTGCGCTACTCGCCCGCCCAGCTGCACTTCCTGTTCCTCCGCGAGGACGCGGCGGGCGTCTGGCAGACCCGCGTGTCCTTCCGCAGCCCGGCTTTGATGGACAGCGAGTGGCACACGCTGGTCTTGGCCGTCTCTGAAGGATCCTTTTCCCTCACCGTGGACTGCGGCCTCCCCGTGGACATGTAGGTACCAGGACGCCCGGAGAGGGTCGCATGTGCTGTGCACTGCCCGACTGGACCGGTCCAGAGTGGCCGGCCCTGGTGCGGCTCGCGGGGTGCCGTGTGGGCCCGGCCTAGGGGCAGAGCCCCGCACCCCGGCAGGGTCAGGCTGGTGGAGGAACAATCCTTAGGAACCACCCACTGCGGCAAGGGGATCAGGGTCACTGGCAGGGCCTGAGGTCAAACCTGCCCTCCAGAAAGGCCACAGTGGGGTGGGGGCACTTGCCGGAGGAGGGGGACTAGACGGAGCTGACGCCAGGCCCGGCATCCAGGCTGGGTGGCTTGGATTGGACCGGGGTACGTGCCCCGCAGAGTGTTGTTACCATCAGGAAGGCCGCAGGGGGTCGTAAAGAACGCAGGCAGCAGAGCCATCCTGGAGCTATGACCTGACTTGAGGCCCAGCTCTTGCTTTGTGGCTCTCAACAAGTGATTTAACCTATGACTTGCTTTCCTCGTCTGGGATGAGGGAGTAAATATTCACTAAAACGCTAAATAACCATGCAGAATAATCCTTTGACACAACCCCGGGCACTCGGAAGCCTGAGGTCATATCTCGTCCTCGTGGTCGCTTGGGTCCCATGGCCTGGAAGTCAGTAGGCTGGACCAGGGAATGGTGAGTCCTCGCAGCCCGGCCAGTTGATCACCCACGTCGGCCCCCAGCTGCCATCCTTGCTGGATGAGGCTGGCAATTGTTTCTCTTTAATCACAAATGGTCTAGTTTATGTTGAATCTATCATTATTCCAAATGTTACTTTCAAAGGTAGACTCTTACTCTGCTTTGTTATTATGAAACTTATTCCCTAATAAAAAGAGTGCTTAACATTTATACACTTTGTTTGAACATGTCTTTATTACAACCCTCCTTCACCATGCCCCTAAATACATGAGGGCCTACTTGGGGGCAGTGACTTCTCAGCGAGCTGGCAGTGGGGACAGCTCTGTGATGGGGAGGGTGCAGGAGGCCAGGCCAGGTAGGGATGAGGAGCTGGGCCTGGAGCTGATGGTGGCCAAGGAGGAATTTAGGCCCTGAGGTCAGACATCACGGGCCTGACAGGCAACATGGAGGGCACACGCCAGGACTCAGGAGGCTGGGGAGCTGTGCTTGGAGCACAGGACATTCTGGAACAGCCGTCAGGAGCTGACTTCACAATGGCCAGCTGCAGCCAGACGGCAAAGACTAGAAGGAGCAGGTGCTTTATAAGAGGATGTGCCTTCGTGGCCCGAGAGGTGCTGGGCAGCCCGGAGTGTGTATTTTACACGCCTGGCTTTTCCGCCCCAGAGGCTCCAGCCATCCCGTCCCCTCCAGCAGGGCACCCACCTTCTCCCCATCCCCAGATGCACTTGCACATCAAGACCCAACTCCAGCCACATCTTCCAACACCTCCCGGGTCACCATCAAGGCGAATCCCCCCTGCCCTGACCCTCTGTCCCCCACCATGCTCAGTGGAGGGCAGGCAGGCTGGGGACCCTGTGCACGTTCCTGGAGGTTCCTGTGAGATGGAGAAAAGCCACTGAACACCTCTGTAGGATACACTTTTGCCAAAGACCCCTGTCCTGAGGTGAACACCATCCCCCCAAATTCACACTCACCAGAACCTGTGAATGGGACACAAGGTCTTTGCAGATGTGATCAGGTTAAGTTGAGGTCACACTGGAGAAGGTTGGGCCCTGATCCAGAGACTGGTGTCCTCATAGGGGAGGAGAAGAGGCACAGAGGAGAAGCCGTGTGATGACGGGGCAGCGAGTGGAGTGATGCTGACACAAGCCCTGGACGCCTGGGGTCATCAGAACTGGAAGAAGCAGGGGGGATCCTCCCCTGAGCCTTCAGAGGGAGCACGGCGCTGCCGATACCTTGATTTTGGACTTCTGGCCCCAGAACCAGGGGAGAACACGTTTCTGTTGTTTCAGCCGCCCAGCCTATGCGCTCTGTTACGGCCACCCTCGGACACTGATCCGTCCCTCACGTGGTGCTGACTCTGTCCTTTTCTGCATAAACGGGCTGCGACCCTGCCCTCCCATGGCCCTAAAACCCACCTCCAATGTTTTCAGAACGGCCGACGTGCCCTTCCCGGCCACCCTATCAGTGCGAGGAGCCCGGTTCTTCATCGGCAGCCGGAGGAGAACCAAAGGCCTGTTCACGGTAAGTATGGAGGGGGCTGCCCACCTGGCCCTCTCAGCACCAGTGCCCGCAGAGGGGTTGTCACCACAGGTCTGTCACCACGATGCTCTGGTTCGACAGATTGTTGTGTGTGCTAAATGGAAATGGGGAAAACGAGGGCGCAGTGGAGCCCCGCACGCAGGCACATGCCTACAACAGGACCTTTGCACTTCCTGTTCTCTCCTCCTGGCACACTCATCCCCACTGCCAGCACAGCTCACCCCTACGCCCTGGGCCCTGCCCTGTCCTCTTACCATGGAGGCTTCTTCACCACCCTGAGATGATGACCCTGTACCCAGCCTTCCCAGTCCCTCCCCTAGGTGTCTTTTCTCTCTAGCCCTGACCACCTGGAGACCAGCTGTGTGTTTGCTCATTGTCTGTCTCTCCCCTGGAGTGGGGGGTGGGGGTGGACTTTGTTCCATGACAGATGGGTCTTTTGTTCCCTGCTG